TTCGACAAAGGAAAAAAGTTGCAGGTCGAGTAGGGATTGAACCCGGGACCTTTGGCTTATCATGCACGCACCTTGCTCCATTGGCTATCCATGCCTCCTGAAGATTTATAAACAGGACTCAATTACAGAAACCTGAATAAATACAACTTCATTAGGAATTGGGTATAATTATTATCATTCTTGGGTGTTTAAAAATGAGGGGCCCAGACAGCACTGGATATTCATAGAATATTCTCTTAATATGCTAAAAAGGAGGAGTATATTCCGAATATTCATCGATTATTCCTAGAATATATACATGCTTCTGGAACATCTAAAAGGAATATTCCAAAGTGAATAGTCGGACATGTTCAGGGAATATTCAGGTATGAATCTTCCAGGAATATTCCCAACTGAATATTCTCTGTTGTATATTCATGAAATATAGCCAACTGAATATTCTGTGCGGTATATTCATGAAATATTCTCAACTGAATATTCTGTGGTGTATTTTCATGAAATATTCCATGAATATTCCTATGTTTCTCAACACATAAATACCAATTATTATTTCAGAGATGTGAGTATCGAACATCAATTAGATGTAAGAGAATTTTGAAACAAAAAGTGTTTATGATCCGATTTCGAACAATGCTCTCACAAGAAATTGATATGGATAACATTATTCAATTCGATTACTGGCCTAGTGGTCAAGGCGTTGCTCTGTTAGTCTGGAGGTCACAAGTTCGATCCCTACTTGGGTCACTTTTTTTATTTTAGAATATGTTTATTGGAATATTCCAAGAACATTCAACATAGAATATTCTTTTGGGTATATTCTATGATTATCTGAGGAATTCCCATTCGCATATTTAGAGAATATTCCACAGATATTCCGGAATATTCCAGATTATTTCTAGAATATTCCAATATTCCAAAAGGAATATGATAGGGAGATTCATGGAATATCTGGTGCTGTCTGGGGGCATTATGCATGAACGATTTATGTCTGCGAAAAATGGTAATTTCTCAAGAAGTTCTGAGACTTTGTTCTTTATTTTCATTACAATCATTTTCCGGAAGAGAAACAAACATTTTCAAAAAATTCAACTCAATAGTTTGATGAAATTCAATGACTCTGATGTGAATGAATATCAGATACTCCAGGGAAACGAATAGGATAGCCTAGGGATGTCCACTGGACAACCACTGCAGGACATCCCCTGGATGTCCCAATCATGTCCTTGTACCGCTGGACAAAAAAGCGACGTACCTAGGACATCCCTGTGTTGTTAGGGAATGTTCTGGTACTTGCATATCTCCAAGAAGTGTAAAAATGAAGCATCCATCTTTGAGAACAATTCATTCATTCTGCGCTAAGCATGACAATGAACGTGAAACAATGATTAGTAAGCAATGGACTGGACACATCTACAACCAATATCACTTATTCGTGTTTCGCTGGTTGCATGCAGTTGCATGTGAGTATTATGTTCCCAATTCCCATTCCTTTCGGATTATTTTGTAGGTTAGCAGGAATAGCAGGTATGTTAATGTAATTTCCGGAGTTCGTAGAAAGATCATAGTATGTAACGCGTTCATAAACTCTTCTAGACACTCGTTTATTGAACACTCGCTCCGCTCTGCTCCGCTCGTGCTTAAAATACTCGTTACTAAAAGGATGTTTATAACACTTGTTACATAATATACTATTTTAGAGCGAGTCGAGTATTGATGCTGATTAGATGTGAAGTTCGGCCTGTTCTTATAAATATATATGCATAGTTCATAAATATAAATACTCGCAACCGTTAGTATTCGGAGTTCTTTGAATGAATTTCTGCATGATTGCCTCCACCCAATTTCAGCAATGATTCTGATAGCCTCTTTTTGTAGAATAAGAACCCTCTCTGCAGTTGACCCTGTACCCCAGTTCAGTATTCCATACCGTATATGACAGTGGATAGTTCCGTAATACAGATTCAGCAAAACCTCTTTACTACAATGTCTAGACATAAACCTCAATGCGTTACAATAGAATGCCAAGTGATTTTTATTAGCCCAAGTTACCACCCGCTTATAAACACTTTGTGTTTTTTCTGTGAGATCTAACACATTATGATCCTTGATGAGAAAATTGGTGTCATCTGCATAAGCAACTACATGAATTTCTGTGAGACTACTGAAGTACTGTATCAGGTCGTTGGCGTATATGAGGAAAAGTAAGGGGCCAAGTATTGAACCTTGAGGTACACCTTGCTCAATAGTTACTGACTGACTAACAGTATTATGAATAACTACCTTTTGGGTCCTGTCCTTTGAATATGATTTCATCAGCTCCAAAGCAATTCCTCTCACACCATATTTCTCCAGCTTCTGAAGTAGAAGTATATGATTTACACTATCAATTGTCTAAAGTGGCCAAAAAAGTAGGTACAAAGAAGTAAGAATCATCTTTTGCCTACATTCCAATGTTGAATTGTTGAATGTAGGAGAATATTGAATGAAAGAAGAAACATTCACTGGCGTATCTTTTCTGATACTTACTACTTAGAGGCGACTTACGAGCCCCATGGAAATAATTCAAATGCATCGATTATTTCAAATCCCAATAACTCGAAAACAGTTGCTCGCACTGACCTCTACCAATATATTTTTCACTCAAAAGTGTTCTAGTGATCTATTTTTTCACTATAAAACGTGATACAGGTACGCACAAGAAAGTTATGACTTCCCAAAATACTCAACCCAGACAGCACCAGATATTCCATGAATCTCCCTATCATATTCCTTTTGGAATATTGGAATATTCTAGAAATAATCTGGAATATACCGGAATATCTGTGGAATATTCTCTAAATATGCGAATGGGAATTCCTCAGATAATCATAGAATATTCCCAAAAGAATATTCTATGTTGAATGTTCCTGGAATATTCCAATAAACATATTCTAAAATTAAAAAAAGTGACCCAAGTAGGGATCGAACTCGTGACCTCAAGACTATCAGAGCAACGCCTTGACCACTAGGCCAGTAATCGAATCGAATAATGTTATACATATCAAGTTCTTGTGAGAGCATTGTTCGAAATCGGATCATAAACACTTTTTGTTTCAAAATCCCCTTACATTGATGTTCGATACTCATATCTCTGAAATAATAAATGGTATTTATGTGTTGAGAAACAAAGGAATATGCAAGGAATATTTCATGAATATTCACCACCGAATATTCAGTTGGGAATATTTCATGAATATACCGCACAGAATATATTCAGTTGGGTATATTTCATGAATATACCGCACAGAATATTCAGTTGGGTATATTTCATGAATATACAACAGAGAATATTCAGTTGGGAATATTCCTGGAAGATTCATACCTGAATATTCCCTGAACATGTCCGACTATTCACTTTGGAATATTCCTTTTAGATGTTCAAGTGGCATGTATATATTCTAGGAATAATCGATGAATATTCGGAATATACTCCTCCTTTTAAGTATATATTTAGAGAATATTCTATGAATATCCAGTGCTGTCTGGGAAAAGACATGTAGGTGGCGCCACCCCCACGAAAGAGACAAACTAACATGAAATTTGATATTGTCATTGAAAAATACCACTTGATAGCAATCTTCATTCAAATATCACAATTATTTCGAAATTTATCAACAAAAAACAAAAATAAGAATTCAACTTTGACACTCTGTATCGCAGAAACGAATAGTTTTCGGACATATATTTATATGAACTTTTCTTCTCATTTTAACGTTAGCAACATGCTCCTACACATACTTGAGAAACACATTGTATATATATATACATATATACTATAATTTATAATATATTTCCCCTATTCCCATTTGGCTATGTTTGTGGAAAGTTTTATACAGGTGGAACCAAGAGACCTCTTACAGTTAGGACGAAGGAACAAAAGAACAATATAAAGAAAAGACACATCGATATATCGAAATTAGCTGAACATTTCCTTACTGAAGATGGACAACATATGGCAGAATGGAATAATATTAAAATCATTGGAAAAGAAGATAACAACCAGAAGAGTAAAATTGCATTGCTCCCTGTTCAGTTGATACAGATAGAACATGGTATTCACTACTGAAATATGAAAATAGAATTGGTAAATTCAAGATCAATTATTGAAAACATCCTGTTACTCATTTGATTGCCAACGTCACCAATTGTCACTGAGAACTGAAAAGTGTCAAGACAAATAACAAACTGCTATTCAAATATCCATTTTTTATGTTGAAAACGGGAGCAGATTCGTTCCCGAAACGTCCAAAGCTTAGTCAAAATCATTTTTCTATATACCTTCATTTCTCTTCTCCAAACCTTTTTCAATACAAATTGTCACTGACAAGCTAGTGAATATTTCTTTCAGGCTCTCTGATAGGGGAATTATTCGAACGCAGTGACATTTTGGGGCTAATCATCTTCACTACACGTATTATATTGAAATAATATTCATTATCTCATTTCATAGAAACGAGGAGAGAAAATAAAAAAAACTGGAATAATGAATGTACCACCTCCTCGATCAACCTACAGACAGTATATATTTTCAGTTCTTGAAAAATATATACAGCTGCCTTAGATTGTATACTTTTCGAAATCACGAAGGATACCTCAATAATGTATATATATATATTTGAGATAAGAAGAGAGAGCTCTACCGATTATGAAAACAAAAAACAGTGTGTTCCATTTAAAAAATACCAGTTTATGTAAAATTTGGTTTACGAAGCTTTATGGCATTATCTAGAACTAGATTCTGAATGCCCATAAAAAATATATGCTCCGATCATTATTGCCCGTTTACATAGTAATATTGTGGTAATAAGTAAAAAAAGTCGTGAATAAACAGGCCCATCTTGTTAGTTTCACGGTAGAGATGGCACTCTATATCTCTCATTACTTACTCTGAGATTTATATTTCCAAATGAATCTCATCGTGAATATAAGAACGAACATTCAAGCTGATATGCCTCACTTACGTTTTTCACACTTCTTTCCTGTGAAAGAATACTTGCAATCCTTCTTACAGTATCCATCTATATGACGACAACTCGTATCTGAACAATATGGAGAGCATTTTTCTTGACATCCATGACCATAGGTGCCAAGTTTACATTCTAGAACATTCGAATCTTCATTTTTTCGTTATTATCGATTAAGAAACATACCTGTACTGCAACTATCTTCATATCCAGGTGTGCAATGACATTCTTTTTGACCATCGATATATTCGCAGTATTCAAAATTCGAACAGTAATCCATCCCAAAAATTGCACACGGTATACACCGTTTGCCAAATGAATTTTCTGGACATTTTATACCTAATAAAGTTCATTCTGTGATTTTTTCCATACTTTTATCTTGTCCTGTCTTTCAGAGCTATTATTAACTCTAAATAGTTTTTTGTGATAATTCGGGTATACAGGGTGACATTAAAATAAACTCATATAATTGGAACCCTGGATCAAACTAAAACTTGTGCATGACCCCTTTTTTCGTCCAGATGTTATTTGAACGAAGTCTAATTGATATCTTCTTCAATTGTATATGACAATGTTTAAATTTTTCATTTGGAGTTAAAGTACGATATTCAACTCCATATGAAACAATATTTTCATCAAATTTTAGTGTTAGTAGTGCTGAAGTTGAACATCCCAATTCATAATCCTTTTAATATCATATTCAGTATTATTCTTCATGGACTTACCATGAGTTTTTATTTCATCATTTCCGTCAGTATCCAGAAGTGTTTCTTCTTGAATCGCAATCGTTTGACAAGGGGTATTGGTTTTTCCAGATTTCACATACCTAAATTCTGATATAAAAAAAAGTAATGAGTAATGAAATAGGTATCTCCTGATATGATGGCATGATATGGAAAACGTTCTATGATTACTTGTAACTGATTGTAATTAGGACTTGGTGTAATATAGGTGTTATATGGTGAAATAAGTACACTCAGTATATATAAAGTTACCAGATAACAGCTTCTCAGTATTTTCATATGGTGAGAAGCAGAATCAGCACTGATCATATTTCTATCTGCTTCCTACAATTTCTAGGATCAGCGCTGACGGTGCAGATCCGATATTATAAAAGGACCCTGCGTGGCAACCTTGGTGATTAGTAAAGTTAGAATAGTCTAGTAGTCATATGGCAGAGAGCCATTAGAAATTCAAGTAACCATTGTCTTTTGAATAAAGTAACTCGTTCAGTAGAAAAGTGTTTTTTAAAAAGTAAAATCTCAAAGTAGAGATATAATGTTCGGACAATCAGTTTCAACATCACTTCATTGGCATATACATTTTATCATATGGTATATACAGTCCACGGTTTCTAGAAAGGTGCCATTAGGTATAGTAACATATACCTCTTGTTTTAGAATTTTGTTTAATAAATAGATAGAACTGACATATATGTGACAGGTTTTCATACCAAATTGTATTCCTTGAATATAAATACAAAAACATGGGAAATGTATATAGTTTTATTAAAAAACCATAAAGGAAATAGAAATTCAGTTGGGTCATCCAACATATTTTGGTCTATTCGAGCGGATGTTAGAACTAGTAGCGGTTAGAGAGTCAAGAAGGGGAAGAAAGGCGGTACATTTCAAGAACATTAAGCGGTATTTGGATCTGGAGAAGTCAAAGGGCAGCTTCGAGGTGGTGCAGGATCGAAGTAGCAGGTCAATAACATTCACGGTTGGGCACACTGGGCGCAGAAATCAGCATCAAGGAGAGCGACATGCGCAGTACACAGCTATACTTCAAGGGGCACATTGGGTGCATACACATAACATTCAGGTCAGAAAGTTGCATATTGGAACAGAGTGAGTACACTCTACTGTGACGACGATATCTACGAGGCATATATCTGAGTTTTGCGGTGGTGGGGGTCATCATTCGGTTTATTTTTCTTTCAAATAAATATCAGCTATGAATGAACTAATTCGGAAAAGAGGGGTCGTCAAGGTGCAATTAACAAGGTTTGGAACTTTCATCAACACATTTACAAACGATAAAATATCTCAAATACCAGGAAGGATTGAAAAATGTAAGGAATGTTGGAACGAATTTGACATTTTACAATCACAAATAGAGGAATTAGATCTTGAAAATGCCATAGATCAGGAACAAGAGAGAATTTCATTTCAGGAATCATATTTTGAGGTAATCGCAAAGGCAACAGAAATTTAATCAAATAACGGGTCAGTTACACAAATAAATAGTTCTGTAGGTGCTACACCTAGTGGTACTGCTTTGGTAGAAAAAAATGTGAGATTGCCCATTATGGAGATTCCCACATTTCATGGTTCTTATAAGGAATGGTTGGAATTTCATGATACTTTTCATACATTGATACATTCCAATCCCAATCTCACAGATATTCAGAGGTTTTACTATCTGAAGAATGCATTAAAGGGGGATGAAGCTGAGGTCATTCGAGCTCTGGAGGTGTCGGCGCAAAATTATGCTGAAGCTTGGAAATTGTTATCGGCCAGGTATGAAAATAAAAAGATTATAACTATAAATCATATAGAATCGTTGTACAATTTTCAACAAATGTCGAGGGAATCATATTCTCATCTGAGAACATTTGTTGATACAATCAGGAAAGATATTCGTGCATTGAAAACATTGGGTCAGCCAGTTGACACTTGGGATACACTTCTTATTTTTATTTTGGAAACAAAATTAGATTCGGTTACCAGTAGGGAATGGAAAAAACAGGGACAATTAAATATATTTCCATCAATGTCAGAATTTATAAAATTTTTAGATGAAAGATGTCAACTGCTTGAATCAATAAATATCCTAATAGATCTTTCCAGAAATATGTACAATCTAATGAGTATAAACAAAAGTCAGATAAATTTACCAAGGCATTCACTTCGTCGAACAAACCTTGTACCGTATGTCGGGAACTTCATCCATTGTATGCATGTGAAAAATTTCTGGGATTGTCAACATTTGGAAGGCGGGATGAGGTAAAACGGGCAAATGTTTGTTGGAATTGTCTAGGTCATGGACATAAGGTACAGGATTGTACGATGAGGGGCTGCAAATATTGTGGAAAGAAGCATAATAGTCTTCTGCACCACAGTAATCAAAATACTAAGGTAGAATCACGTGAAAGTCAGGTCAAGGATAAAAGGGACCAGAATCGGGATTCAACAGAAACACAGTTGAATACTGAGCCACCAGGAGCATCACAAACATTTCAATGTGCTGCAGTATCTCAGGAAATTGTTCAGGAAGGTAATTATTCAATAAATCAAAACTTTTCCTCAATGCAGAATATAGATGTTTTGTTATCAACAGCTCTGGTATATTTTACAGACATATCAGGATTATTACACGAGGCAAGGGTATTATTAGATTCAGGCAGTCAATCGAATTTTATGACAAGGGAGTTTAGAAGGGAATTAGGTATTCCTCTAAATAATACGAATATACCAGTGGTAGGAATTGGGCAGTCAATTTCGAATATTAATCATTGTGTAAAGGCAACACTGCATTCAAAATTCAAACATTTTTCAGTTACTTCAACTTTCTTGATTATTGACACAATTTCAGATACCACTCCTGTAACAAAAGTGAAAGCGGACGGATTTGTTATTCCACCAAATATAAATCTAGCTGATTCAAATTTTGCGGAACCGAGTAAAATAGATGTATTGCTAGGGGCATCTCTATTTTGGGAATTGATATGTGCAGGACAGATTAAATTAAGTAAGGGTCAGCCAATTCTACAAAAAACAGAACTTGGATGGATTGTAGCAGGTAATATGAGTAATGTCAGTGGAAAACAATTAGAACAAGTTCGACTTTGCAATTTTTCAATCAATGACAGACTCGAAAAACAAATTCAAAGGTTTTGGGAGTTAGAGGAGTATAATCAAGAGAATAAATTGTCTAGAAAAGAAGTTCTTTGTGAAAAAATATTTCAGGAAACTACCTTCAGAAATAGGGAGGGGCGATTTGTAGTTACATTACCAATTTCTGAAAATATTAGTGAATTAGGTAATTCATTTGAGATTGCTTTCAAGAGATTGATACAAATCGAAAACAAATTGGGAAAAAACAAAGATATGAAGGATCAATATCATGAATTTATGAAAGAGTATATTGATATGGGACATATGACAAGGGTACAAAAGACTTCTAATGAAGGAATTGCGTACTATTTGCCGCATCATGGAGTTTACAGGGATGAATCAATTACAACAAAATGTAGGGTAGTCTTTGATGCGTCTGCAAAAACTGATAATGGAATTTCTTTGAATGATATATTATTAGTGGGTCCCCAATTACAGGATAGTCTTTTTTCAATTTTGGTTAGATTTCGTAAACACAATGTGGTATTTGCAGCAGATGTGGCAAAAATGTATCGTCAAATTCTTATTAAAAATGAACAAAGGGATTTACAACGAATATTGTGGCGTTTTTCAATTAATGAAGCAGTAGAGGTATATAGGTTGAATACTGTGACGTACGGGACTGCATCAGCAAGTTTCCTTGCAGTGAGATGTTTGCACCAGTTAGGGTATGATTTCAAGGATAAGTTATCGAATGCTAGTGACTGCATACTGAGCGACTTCTACATGGATGACTTATTGACAGGTTCAGAATCTGTAGAGGAAGCAAGGGTATTGAAGAGGGATATAAGTCATATTCTAGAAACTGCTGGTTTCATTCTTAGGAAGTGGATATCCAATAAAAAGGAGGTTTTTGCAGATGATAGTGAAAGGAATAATGACATTGCTTACTATCTAGCAGATGATAGCACTTCGAAGGCTCTAGGTTTGTTATGGAAGGCAGATATAGATTGTCACCCTCCCTACTCTACTTCTTATAGAGCGAAGGGGACTCCTGTACAATATTAATTATCGCAAGGTTCCCGGTAACTCAGGAGATTGGGTGTGGAAAATGTAATGAAAACCATCAACTTAACTCATTCCTATAATTAGTTCAGTGACTAATGCTTACAAAGATTCTAGTAAAAATAAGTAAGTTGGCAACACTGTCAAATATGAAAACTTGTCGTTCTGTGATTGCGCTTCAAGTCTGGCAACCCTGCCTATAAGACAAAGGACAACACTGTCCGATTTACCAAGTGTCAAATTGTCAACTGTCTTTTATGACCTTTGTGTTTCACGAATCACAACGCCAACAACCCTAACCTTAAACCTCAATATTATGTAACGATAATGATTAGAAAAACAAATGAGAAAATTTATGATTTTATGTAACCACTAACCGCCTAACAAGCTTATTTCTCAACTCACTCAAGGTAATTACCCCTATCTGGGTGACTAAACGCCTGGCAATCAATCGGCTAATCCCCAAGAGTATGCATACCCTCCGTTTACAGAGCCTCCACAATTACAGGATGATTTATTGATTTGGACCAGATCACCGTAGGTATCCACGCTTACCTTATTGCCCTTGCTATTTCTCAACAATTTACTATATTAATAATGAATATAAAGGAGGAAAATAATTATTCACAATAATTCTGGGTCTCTCAGACCTGTAGTACGAGTTCAAAAGCAAAGCACATTTTAGATGAAGGATGAGCAGGGAGCAGCTGTCAGGAGCATGCAATATTTCAATAATTGCAACAGAATTGGACACAGACGCTTCAGTAGATCATGCACAAATTCAGTTATGAAATTGGAATGGACTCGCCTGATTAAATCGATGGTTCTCCTGTCCTCCAGTGGAAGTCACCTCAGTGTCTTAATGGTCATCTGCATCGCTGGGTCTGAACTTCAACATTATCCAAACTTGCAAATACTAGCACATGCAG